GGGGATTTGGAATGGGGGATTTGGGGGGATTGGGAATTCTGGGATTTGGGGGGATTTGGAATGGGGGATTTGGGGGAAATTGGGAATTCTGGGAATTTGGGGCTGGGGGATTGGGGATCGGGGATTTTGAGGACTGGAGATTTGGGAATTTGGGAATTCTGGGATTTCGGGAATCAGGGAATTGGGGAAGGATTCCCCGCGGCACCTCCAGCTCCCTGCTGGCCACCAGGAAGAGGCGAGCCCGGATCTCCTTCCAGCGGCTCTCGGTCCAGGTGGAGAATTCCCGGGAATCCCAGCGGCGCAGCTCGAAGGCCGGGGACAGCGCCGGGGCCAGGCGGGCGCCGGATCGGACACAGCCCGGGAATCTGCGGCTGGAATTGTCCAGCAGGGGACCCTGCACCCAGCGGTACTCGAACAGCTGGAAAACAACAGGGGAACAGCTGGGGAACAGCTGGAGAACAGCTGGGGAACAGCTGGGGAACAGCTGGAAAACAACAGGAGAACAGCTGGGGAACAGCTGGGGAACAACAGGAGAACAGCTGGAGAAACAACAGCGGGAAAACAACAGGGAACAGCGGGAGAACAACAACTGGAAAAACATCTGGCACACAGCTGGAAAACATCTGGAAAAAACAGCTGGAAAAACAGCTGGAACACAGCTGGAAAAACATCTGGCACACAGCTGAAAAACAGCTGGAAAAACAGCTGGAAAAACAGCTGGAAAAACATCTGGCACACAGCTGGAAAAACAGCTGGAAAAACAGCTGGAAAAACAGCTGGAACACAGCTGAAAAACATCGGAAAAACAGCTGGAAAAACATCGGAAAAACAGCTGGAAAAACAGCTGGAACACAGCCGGATCACAGCTGGAAAAACATCTGGAAAAACATCTGGAAAAACATCTGGAAAAACATCTGGAACCCATCTGGAACACAGCTGAAAAACATCGGAAAAACAGCCGGATCACAGCTGGAACACAGCCGGATCACAGCTGGAAAAACAGCTGGAAAAACATCTGGAAAACAGCTGGGAACACAGCTGGAAAACAGCTGGGAAAACATCTGGAACACAGCTGGAAAACAGCTGGGAAAACATCTGGAACACAGCTGGAAAAACAGCTGGAAAAACATCTGGAACACAGCTGGAAAACATCTGGAACACAGCTGGAAAAACAGCTGGAAAAACAGCTGGAACACAGCTGGAAAAACAGCTGGAAAAACAGCTGGAACACAGCCGGATCACAGCTGGAAAAACATCTGGAAAAACATCTGGAAAAACATCTGGAACCCATCTGGAACACAGCTGAAAAACATCGGAAAAACAGCCGGATCACAGCTGGAACACAGCCGGATCACAGCTGGAAAAACAGCTGGAAAAACATCTGGAAAACAGCTGGGAACACAGCTGGAAAACAGCTGGGAAAACATCTGGAACACAGCTGGAAAAACAGCTGGAAAAACATCTGGAACACAGCTGGAAAACATCTGGAACCCATCTGGAAAAACAGCTGGAAAACATCTGGAACACAGCCGGAAAAACATCTGGAAAAACATCTGGAAAAACATCTGGAAAACAGCTGGAAAAACATCTGGAAAAACAGCTGGATCACAGCTGGAAGAACATCTGGAAAAAACAGCTGGAAGAACATCTGGAAAAAACATCTGCAACACAGCTGGAAAAACATCTGGAAAAACATCTGGAAAAACAGCTGGAAAAAACATCTGGAAAAACAGCTGGAAAAACATCTGGAAAAACATCTGGCACACAGCTGGAAAAAACCAACAGCTGGCAAACCGGGCTAATCGGGAATGGGACCCTGCACCCAGAGGTGCTCAAACAGCTGGAAAATCGGGACAATCGGGACAATCGGAACAATCGGGACAATCGGGACAATCGGGACAATCGGAACAATCGGGACAATCGGAACAATCGGAACAACCGGGACAATCGGGACACCCATTCC